ACCAGGAGCTTTGCATTTTATTGTGCAATCAGATGCCCTCCATTCAGTGAGGAGATCTCATCCGATAACAAAAATGTCACCGCTCTCCACTGGATTCAGGAGCTGCTGATTCACCCACAGGGGCAAAGTTCACAGAGGAGGCAAAGTGCACAGCAACACACTTTTTTTTCAAAACCAAATACTCTCTTTCTGTCAGCATTAAATGAACAAAAAACATTCAAAATGTCAGTTTCTGCTGGAAGTAATTATACCCTGCTCACGTCACAATCTCTTGCACGCTGTCAACACGTTCATCTATATGTGTTGCTTGATTGTCTGTAGAGGCTCGCGGGCGCGTCTCCCCTCAGCCGTTCAGGTGTCCTGTTAATAATGCAGAGGGGTGGTGAAACTTTTTCAACTTGAATGCATTTGCAGATCTGGTGTGCATTTTCCCTCCTCACTGTCAGGTCACTGTCCCCGCGTACAAACAAAGCAAACTATTTATACACTTCAAACTTGATAGCTCTTGTGAACAATGTGATAGGTGGATCCCAAAATGAGACGCCCCGAATGAGACAATATGCTCAGGGAGGGCTGTGACATTTCAGATAACATTTAGAGGCCAGCCCAATTAATATGAGCAAGGGCATGTTTACAAACCCGGTCCACTTTGCAGATTCAAATTTATTTCCCAATTACTTCAAAACAACTGCTCTCTTAATAAGCCTGACTTGCCCTTTTGTCTGCTAACTCACTACTTTGCTTCCCATCATGGCTGCTAGCACACATACAGGTCGCTTTAAAGCTAAAATGCTGCTTGGTTACTAGACTCTGGGTTGATACATCAGTCTGTGGATCCATCTGCTAGCATTGCACTGAAGAGTTTGCTCATGACATTTATTGCATTGTACAGCAACATATTGTATATTTGTTGTCTGTCTTGCTATGCTAGGAGCTTGACTTTCGGGACTTTTGGCTGGTTGGTTGATCCACAACTTGAAATATCTCAAAGAGATGTTGGATGGATTCCCATGAAAACATGGTTCAGACATTCATGGTTTCCCTACCACGGGACTTTAGGGATCATCTAGCACCGCCACAGGTTAGAATTTCAATATGTCCAATACTTTTCGACAAAATACTCTCTCTTCTTTGTGTTTAGCGTGTTAGCATGCCAACATTTGCTAATTGCTAAGGCGCTGAACTGAATATCTGCATGTTAGCATCGTCAGTGTGAGCGTGTTAGCTCATTAGCGTGTAGCTCAGAACAGCCACTGTTTCCCCCATGTGTGACTGTCCACAAGACAATAGATTTTATTTTGGTCTTAGTTTTTTTTGTCTGCTTTTTTAATTCTTATTTATCAATTTATATTTTTTGGTCTTGTTTTTTCCAATTTTGTTTGGGTTTTTGCAAGTAGTTAATTAGCTGTTTCCCCTTCTTTTTTTGGTTGTTGGGCTTCATGACTCTGCTTTGACTTGCTGATATTCCAATTTTTTCTTAGGATGCATATGTTGTTTTTTTAAGCTACTTAAATTTTTATTTCACATCCCATGCCCAATGTTATATGTTGCGTAGTATAAGAAAATTTAAATAAATAAATCACAATTTGGAATCCTTTTGATATCTGTCCGTTGTTATGCAGTTATACTTTGGTTTAATGCCCGTTTGTCAGAAAGATCTCATCCATTTGTACGGTTTTACAACATCCTGTCCTTGCTGAAATACAATCTCTGTAAGTAAAAATATAATAGTTTTGCTGCAGGTTTTCCAGAGTAATTGTCCATCACTGTGGTCAGACAGGAAGGAATAATCAATATCTGCCCAAATGAGCTTTCCCAGTGCACCCAAGTCCTCTCCTGTTGTCCATTAACACCTGCACCAGTCTGGGTTAACTACCCTGCTCGCTGACAGTATCTTTTCAGCCTGAGGAGCAGGTTTTTCATTCACTTGTTCCCATCTGGGTGGATTCAAACAGAGGAATCGTTCTCTACAGCAGCGACGGAGAAGTTGGTGGCAGCGTTATGGCTCCAGACACAAACCTACGGTGACATTTTGAGGCTGCCGTGTCCTGAGTTGAAGCGTGCACCTGGTTTTTATTCCCATGCAGCAGGGCTCCGAGCACTGAGGCTGCTTCTCTATTTTCTAAAACTGCCCTGTCTTCTCTTTGCTGCACTTAAGTGTAATTTAAACACTGTTCCTCACAGGATCCAGTCCGGTCTAGAGCTCATCAGATATCCTGCTGACAGCCCAGGCTGCCTCCAGAACTGCACACTCAGCGGCGAGGATTTTGTTCAGAGAAGGAGCTTCCCTTGTTATTTGAAACGTTAAAGTCCGAAATGTGACGTCCACTCACTGAAAAATGAACTAACATCTGCTTTTATAAAATGAGTGCTGTTGTGACAAAGTGAACAGAGGGGTGCTGCATAAAGTTACTAATTTACTTACAAAATATCCTTTTTTTAACCTTATCTTCTATTTTTATTTGGTCATTTTCCACAATTGATATGTAGTGTGTTGACATATATATATGGCATATATGAGACTCATTAATGACAGTAAATGATGCTGGATTTGATGAAGTGTCAGGTCATGTTTTAGTTACAACTTGATGTCAGTGGCAATAAGTTAAAAGGAAATTACTGGATTCCTGAAATGTGAAGAAAAACAAAGCTTTTCTTTTTAGGAGGCAGAGATGTGAATAATTATGAATCCAAAGTATTAATGCATTGTGGATATAGGCTTGGTGCCAGGTGCATGACTACTACACACTCACAGTCAGAAAGCAAGAAAAAGTAACACTTGCTATTGTGAGATGACCTTTTTTTAAATGCCAGTTTGTTTTCTGGTCACATCGGTGGCTCCTGTATTAATTGCTGCTCAAGGGCTGTTTGTGAAACAAAAACGAAAAAAGCCATGTCTTTCTTCACTGTGGTCACTTCTGTGTTTTCTGTTGACACGGTTCGCATGTATTGTTTCCTTTGGCTGTTGTACATCAGCACAGCCCAAAATGTTTCAACAAATACCCCCGAAAGAACTCATAGATGCAAGACTATACAGCAAGAGTCGACAGCACGGCTGACCCATACTCGGAGCAAGGAAAGTGTTGTCCACTCTGGAATATCTTACTGGGAACCTGAACGAACTGAGCTTTTCCTGCCATCAACAAGGGCTATGGGGGTATATAGGGAAATTAGAAAAAGAAACAGGATGTTTTAAGAGGAAGAACACAAACAAAACAATGTTTTTCAGTACCAAACTGAGTTCTCATTTGTATGCCAGAGAATTAATTAGATTGTGTCTTGCAGATCCCCAAATATACAGTTTGATTAATAGGTTCATGTGAACACTAACTGATAGAAAACTGAGATTTTACTTGTTTTAATTAGGGCTCGTGTAGGTGATCTTTTCAAAAGAAAAGGACAGAAAATTAATTGAGATGCAAACTTAAAAGATGGATTTCTTTGTACCTCCTTCAGCCAATTCGCCTCCTAGCCGGCCCAGTAGGGCTGCTCACTTAACACCAGTATCACTCTAAAAACTGTAATGCGAAAGATTTGCAGGGCTTCGAAAACCGTCTATTCCTGTTCCATTGGCCTGCCATGACTCAGGGAAATATTCACTTATGAGTTTCTGACATGGAAGGCACACGTGGGAAGGTTTCCTCTTGTCGGAAAGCGTCGGATGACAGATCTGACCTTTGGGCTCGTGCCAGATATCGCCGGGGGAGGGTTGGTCTGGTGTTAGTAACACTCGGGCTGGTGACGCCTGACGGATGAATCACACTGCAATCCCCACAGTCTCTGGCTGGCTTTGCTCAGGGTCAAGAGATGTTGTATGAGTCCGTCTGTGTTTTGAGGTGCCTCGTCACTGAGAATAGAAAGTTTTCTACATTTATTATACCCAAATTCTCCTAGAAATCTATTGAATTGTCTCTCGTCTAGTAAACACAAGGGACTGTTCTTTATAAGCAGGACCCCTGGTATTACGTTTAGAGCAGTTTATTCAAAATTCTGTTCTTCAGTTTTGATCGTTTTGACGGGTGAGAGAAGTGCAATTTGAAGTCAGGTGGTAGCAAATCACACCTGTGACACACCTGAACATATGAGCCATTTTTCACAGAAAAGATAATCTTCAACATTTACAAGAAATCACTCTGAAATGGAGAGGTATATGGGTGCATACATGCTGGGAAACAAAATAAGGTCAGTCCAGATTGATGCTCTTATTTAACAGTTTTTGTGTTTCTTAACCGGTATTAACACTGGCACATTATTATGAAAATGCAGGTGTCTAGCATGCTCTGATATAATTATAGGACCCCCCCCCGCCCCCCGCCTTTAATTGAATAAATAGCTACCCAATAATTCGGCTGCTTGTGATCCTGGTAATTAAAAAATAAATATTATTCATAGTTCTGATGTCATTTGGCTATCGAGCAAAATAAAGCACAACAAATTAAAGATGAGAGCGTGCTGTAAGTGTAACTACACCCAAGTTAATCCCCGGGGAGGCCAATAGGTGGCACAGCATTAAGGCAGGTGCCAATTCAATAATGGCAGTCTGTCATCAGTATGAGAGGTGTAGCAGCTTCCCTCATACTGGCAGGACAAAGTCTTCTCCTGGACAACACTTCAATGACACAGAATGCACAAAAACACCTTGGATGATTTCGTACATTTTTCATCTACTCTTTGTCAGGTCCACACTGTTCCTCATCATAGGCTGAATGAATGAAATCAAATAATTACATGATGCACCATAATGGCATCTAGAATGTTCAATGTGATGCATTGACGATGAGGAAGGAAGAAAAGATAGTTATAATGATAAAAATGAATGAGGTGAGGAAGAGGAGTGTTCAGCGATGAGAGGAAGAGGATCATGGTGGTGCTGATGATGATCCACCAACTCCTGCTCCCTCCAATAGGGGCACCCTCCCCCCCGCCCCTCCCACGAGCAGCGTTGCCTCGGCGACTGCCGGTTTACGTGATGACGTCGGATGTATATGAGCGCAGGCGGCGGGATCACTCTCTCTTTTACCGCCATCGGAGCGGAGTCTTTCTTCCCCGGGACCTCTTCACTGCGCAGCGCCGCTTCATCAGTCCAGTCCTCCGGTCATAACGCGAAGGTAAGGGACAGGACTCGGAAATGGCTTTGTCGCCTACGCCCCGAGCTTGCGCGTCGTTTCAGAAGTTAAATTAAAATTATGCTGCTTGAATTAACGGCGGCAGAGAGAAGACCGCTTCGCTTTGCTAAAGCTAGTCGAGGCAGACAGCGGCAGCAGCCATTGAGAATGGCTCCACCATGATGTATGTTAACGCTGCACGCGATTAAGAAAATAATGAAACAACTATTATCGTCCGTGTCCCCTGGATTGGTATGACAATCATTGCATTGATATAAAGGACACGACGTCGCGCAAATTCCTTAAATGTCAACATTTTTTGGAATTTGTTGACACGTGTCTTGTATCTTGTATTTTTCGGACTTGACCTTATTTGTTGGAAAATGATACTCCGGTCGCGGAGCAGTGGATGGGAGTTTGGATTTAAGGGATAACGGTTAGAGCGCTGGTTAAAATGGACAACCACTAACGTTACGCAACGAAAGCTGGTTACAACATGGTACCGGAGCGTTGTCACCGCTTCCTCCATACTGGCCCATATTTTTTAGCCCATATTTCTGTCGAAGCAGGTCCTCCCACTTACTCAGCCCGAGTAGTGCGCATCAAGCTAGTAGCACATAAGCTAGCTTAAGTAGCCGGAACCCATCAAGGCAGCGCAGTGACAAGACCGGGCAGGCCGGCTAAAGTTAGCCGGGTTACTAGCCTAGGGGTCGGCTTGCTTGTTAGGGTTACCCTTGGTTTGTTCATGGTTTGACGTCGGACGGTAAACGTCTCTACAGTTTCGGCTGGCTCGCTCAGACCAAATGGAAGTTTTAAAATTCAGGCGTCTAAGTGAGCAGCCGGACACCCACCCAGAGCTTTTTTTTTTTTTGTCAGTCATTGATGGTTCGCTAGACTTGAGCATGCAACACGTGGTCGCTGGGGCAGGATTAGGCGACAAGGACTAGTCCCAGAAACTAAAAGGACGGTGTCTGCTCTGTCTGCAAGGACCGCTATTATACGTGTGGTTAAAGTTGTTCACACACAGATGTGAGAAAACGACATGCATTGACTATTTTTTGACAGGGGTGAGATGATTACAAGGTCTATTTGTACATGCTTGGCAGTTGCATTCCAAACTAAACAGGACTTGTTAAAGCAGTAATAAATATATCTTCCATGTCTCATTTCATGAGTCATCACTTTGACTGGCCAGATGGGAATATTGTCCACTGATAATCTTTGTTCAAATTAGATGACATAATGGTGCATGGAGATACTTAACCGTGCACAGGTGTTCTACATTAATATATCTTATACATAATTTACATTAATTGAAAATGCGGGGCCTGGTCTCCCAGTGGATTACCTCGTTTACCTGAAACTGTTTGACCATGAAAAAGCAAAGTATTGACCACAATTTGAGACATGCTAACGCCACATTTTACGCAACTTTATATTTTATCATGTGTGGTGCTGCTAAAAGCGCTCCACAGTAGTTTTCTCTTCAATAATTTGGCTTAATGGAGAATACAAGATGGTGGTGGTAGGTGTCTTCTTATTTTAGATATTAGTGTCATATGGGGCACTTGTGCCTTTGATCATTTGCACTATTGTTGACTAAACAGTGAGAGCTTTAAAGTGTATTTCCATATTAGGTAAATGACAGAATGCAGCTTTCTGTGGAGGAATGGGGACACGATTAAAGCCACAAATCGGAGTCAACACACAGCATGCTCTCTTCATCTGTTATCTCCTTATGGAGAGAAGAAACTGTTCTGCCACTTTGTACTGTGCTGAGCGAACTGTCACATCAGTGCCGTAGCTGAATAATGCTGTATCAGCCGAATGTAGTCCAGCTAATGTATAGTGAGATGGTGACTATATGACGGCTTTTCAGAAAAGATGTTGATCCTCTTCTTGGTTTTGGTGTAAATTGTTAGCTCTCAGTGAAAACGGTTGCATCACAGCGGCTGATTTTTCCGGATCATGTGAGACTCAAGAGATTCTAAGTTCTGGGCCTAAGGACGCAGAGAGGTGCTGTTAAAGTGACGCTATCTAATAGGGGCCCGTTTTCCTCTGGGGTGACGGGTGAACGCAGTTAGGGGCTTGATAGGATGCTGAACCAGCAGGAAAATGGCAATCAAAGACCAGGATTTACGACCTTTGCCATAGTCTGGACCCTAGTAACATTTGGTGCAGGTGATTTTTTTTATTTTGGGACTGACAGTTGGAGCGATGCAAATTAATAAATAATCAAACAAATGTAGCCCTGCAATTACTGAATATTTTCATTATTGATGAAAATCTACAAGTTTTCTCCAAAATGTTAGGAGGTATCAAACTGTCCATAACAATTTGCCAGTCATGGCTGATGTCCATCCAATAGTATAAAGAAAAGGTAATATCGGTTAGACATTTTGCTTAAAAGTGACTGTAAAATGATTGTAGAAAGTGTTAATAATTAACCTCGTTGTTTCCCCAATAATTTCTTTCCCAACAGCGTTGCTTTAAATGCGCACATTTTATTTTGCCGAATTATGTGGAATTACATCTAACAAAATGCACAAAGACCTCTTTCCATACTTTCCTCTCACCTGTACTACCTGTCGTCCTGTCTAATAATGAATACTTCAAGTAAAATACTTGATTAAGCAACCTACAAGAATGAAATCAAATACTAAACAAACCAGTTCAAATATATTTTAATTTCTGTTGATGTACATGTGGAGGAAACTGGTTACGATTATCCATATCCTTAATGTTGGGTAACTGCTGAAGTAGCAACGCTACTAGCTGTTGCCACAATACAAACTACTTTATATTAGCTAATAAAATCATAACAGAAAACATAGCCATGTAAAGACCCACATCGTCTATGTGTAGGCCTAACATGAATTGATAAACTGAATTTGATCCAATAATTGCTACTGAGGTTCATATTTTTTATATGGCAGCTAATCATTCATTTTTACTCATGTGAACTGAGTCAGCCTAGAGAAACTTAAACTCTTTGTAGCAACAGATTTGAAGAAATGTTTGTCACAGGTACAATATACCAACAACAGTGTTGAAACGATCTCAATGAGTATCCTGCTTTGCTTTTGGTCTTCCGTGGTATGCAGGCTGTTAGTTCAGTGTTGACTTTTTATATGCATTTTTTTTATGCATTTCCTCTTAGATGGCGGTAGTAGTATTTTGCGAGAGTAGGATGACTTGCAATGCTCTTTTTCCATTTTATTTCTATTTGACCTGTTACAGTAAGGCTGGTACAGAAAGGGACCGGGTCACCATGTATCTAAATGTAAAGGGTGACACACTGAGGTCTCTTTGCAAATCAAATATAGGCCAGCCACAATAACTGCCTTCAGGTTGTGTTTTAAACGGGTGTCAAACACAGTATTAAGAATCAAAAAAACCATCTGTGGCTGTCTTTTAAACTGTCATTCATCAAGTGTTTCTAACTTTAACATCTCCCCTGTACCATCTTAGTATTCACATCAGGACTTATTTGCAAATGCTGTTTAACCCAAATTTGGAGACAGTCATGTGTTAGTCAAAATCAATTAGTTTGTGTCCTCCAGTATTTCTGAACTAATTACCTTCTCTCTCTCTCTCTCTCTCTCTCTCTAGCATCATTGAAGACTCAGCTAAGATGGCAGACATCGACAAGTAAGTGCATCGTCTACCAGTGCTCTGCTAGTCTCCTCTGCTGGTCTGAGGCCTGTGGGGCCTGAAGTTAGCCACAGGTGTCCATGACAGTTTAAGGGAAAGCGCCTCCTGCTGTGATATCACAGATTTGGGCAAGGTCCGATGTATAACAGGATCAAACCAATAAGTCCCTCGTTTACTAAGACCAGGGCTGTTTGGGATATATAAAAGACACCTCACAACATTAGAGTGAATGACCCTAACATCCTACCATTGGGTCTGACGCTCCAGTGGGTCAGACCCAATGGTAACAACACAGGGATGTATATCATCTCCTTCTCATGCACACACAACTCAGTTTTGATTACTGCTAGTTTAAATTGCTGAGAATTGTGTATACAGTCTGGTAGGACTGGGTACGGGTACTGACACCTTTTTGTAAGGTCGACCGAAAGTAGTATCAAAACTTCTACAGTCAAACTGCGATCGATCCTTCTTGTGCCGAGGTGCAGACAAAAATGACTAGCGCCAAGTGTTCTGTAATTTAATGCGACTTGTGATTGAGCCATTACTGCAGCAGCTACAACCCATACGGTCGAGATTTCCTGCACACGGCTCTCAACATCAACTGTTGGTTGCTAACAGCTAACGGTGCCAGCAGAGCTAACCATTTTACCCTGGGCAGGAACCGGAGGGTGGGTGACATCGCTGTTCCTCCGAGGGGTTGATGAGGGCTGTGCAGAGCGGCAGCTTTTGGCGAGCTTGTGGAACGCACACTCATAGCTTCCATTCACATGATGGGTAAAGAATGAAGCACCGTTAGTGTCAGTATCGCTTTAAAGGTACTGGTATTGGTGCTGGTGTTTTTTTTTTTTTTAATGATACACAACCCTACGACTGAACTATTCCTCCTCTTAATTGCAAACCAATGTGCCTTTGAGCTGGGCATGCAAGTAGGGCTGCAGCTATTGTTTCTTATTCTGATCAAGTGCTCAACCAATCATTCTCATGCATATTTGTTGAAGTTTCATTTGTGAGTTTGAGTTTTCCCTGGATAATTTAAGACTGAACATGTTTCCAAGCTTCATTTTCCAAGCAATTATATTTTCAGAATTGGGAGGGAGCTCAATATTTGGTTGGTTAAAGCAGCAGTTGCTGGCAACCTCACCTTTTAAAGTAGAGATGAAATAAAAAATGCCTTAACTCTGAGATTACATCCCCAGTGATATTATGCACCTATTTAACAACATAAACATAAAAAACAAAATTGTATTTCTATATCAAAATTCAACCATCTTTTCTTCTTGTAAAAAAAAAAATAAAAATAAAGTGTGCTAGTACCAACTAATTTCAACCAATAATATGACATCCGTCCTTCAGGCAATCATCCTTTGTAGCTCCTTATTGTGCTACATTTTAAGCCTGCCCACAATCAGATGCTTAGGATTTGAATTATATCCCCCTAATAATTGTACACCGCTCAAATATTCCATTGGGACTCTAAAGGTACCAGAAATAGATGGTGGCAGATGTTAATTCTGCACACTCAAACAGTGTGATGTGTTTAGTTGACCTTCCCCTCTGCCCCCCCCCCCCGAGCAGCAAAGACCAAGCTGAGATGGACCCGGCAGATATGGAAGACGTGGAGGAAGTGGAAGAGGAGGAGACGGGAGAAGATGAAAACAGCAAAGGTAGGACTCTCTGAAAAAATGCTGCAGCACAGGTTTATGATGGTGTAATAGTTGCAGACGGTCTGTCTTAAAATGCAAATTAAACTGTGCAGAGGTAAAGGCATAGTTTAGATCAGGCATGGGCAAACTACGGCCCGTTGGGCTTTTTAATCCGGCCCGTCGAATATTGGTACAAAATTGTCCAAACTATAATAAAGACTAGGGCTGGGCAGTATACCGGTTTTAATTTCCCCTATGATATGAATTCTTCACACACCATTATACCGGTGCATAGCCAAAACAACTGCTGTCTGCTTTCAACAGGCAGCTAAATGTATTGTTTGCCGCTATTGCACAGCGGACAGCGCTAGTTCCTTATATGTATTGAGGGAACCCTAGTCATGGTCATAAATTTATAACAACAATTAACAACCCACAACTAACGCTCTTTAACAGAAAAACACCACAGCACACAACAGTCTGTGACACAAAGAATTTGTAACACTAATAATTGTACATTTATAAAATTTCACCGCCGAACTGCATGCTGGGTACAGCTCGCTCGCGAGCCTGCTTGCTAGCACAACAGTCTGCTAACAGCTGGGAGAGGCTCCGTCGCTCCAGTTACGCTACATTAAAGAACAGAACAGAGCGATGCAGGATGAACAAAGACAGACCGGAGATGCACCGATAGAGTGTCACACATATGCAACGCTGATTACCGTGTGGTATTTGTTATAAATGTACATTGGTGCAAAGAGGGTGATAAGAAGCTGTACATGGAGGGGCTTAGGGCCCAGGGGAATGTAGGTGAAGGAAACGGGAAGAGACGCAAGACACGCCACACAAACAGCTGTTCACCGCTCGTCACGATCCCGTAGACCAGTGATTCTCAACTGGTGGTTCGTCGCGGACCCGTTTTCAGTTGGCCTTTGCTTTATGCAGCGGAGTTATTCACGCGCCTTTCCAGCATTTACGGCACATGTTCAGCGGTGCAGGAAAAACACCGACCAATGCGTTGTAAATCAGGTCACGTGATGCAGTTTAGCCAATAAAATAAGGGTATTCTGATACGCCAGCGAGATGTACCCACACCGTGACACGGGAGAGAGACAAGGAAAGACATTACAGAGCAGAACTCTGATAATGTTGGATGTGACAGTCAAATGTTTGTATGATCCCTTCAAAGAATCGAACTGCTAAAAAGACCAGTCATTAACCTTTACACTAAAAACACTGTCAAAAATGACTGCTTAATAAGTGCACGATAAAATATGCATTAATGTGATAAAAAAAAATACCGTGTAAGATCCCAGCTAACTGATGCACACCTCAGATCTGTTCTGAGAATTGCCGTAACCAAACTGACACCAAACGTTGACGCACTGGTTAAAAAGGGTGACCAACAACACTGTTCCCACTGAAATTAAATGCAAGTTACTTTTTAGGTCATGGCTTTTACTTGTCATTTATATTAGTTCACACAAACACTCCATTCATCTGATACTGGCCCGGCCTGCCTGTCAAATTTTAAAACTCAATGTGGCCCCCCGAGCCAAAACGTTTGCCCACCCCTGGTTTAGATGAAGAGACGTTCGAGAACATTATTCTAATTGTTGTTAGGGAGAACCAATTTGGTTCTCCGTCTGGTACTTAAACTGAGGAGAATCATAATGACATGATTTTGAGTTGTGGTTCAGAGCTGGGAGGCACTAATCAGTTTTATTTTGGGATCTCGCTGCTGTTTACGCATCCTTTTGACGTCCAATAAATGATTCAGACGGTTTCTCATATCGGCCTACTCCCGGCTCATTGTGGATAGATATAGACGGACGTTTGGCCTCGTCTATTTATAACCAGTTTAAAAGTGTGGTCTTTCAAAGACTATTCAAAGGAGGCTCATTCTGGCTGCCTGCGACTGATCGGTCATAGCGAGAACACTCTCAGAAAAGCTTTACACAAGGTGGAGATTATAAACGCATGAGTAATACAGTTGCAGCGTGCCAACGATGACCTGCAGCGCAAACTCTCGTTAATAACCCAAGGCTTACACATCAAGGCAGCAAACTGCAAATCACAGCTCTGCTCATAAGATACGTGCAAGTGCATTGTTTAGAAACAAAGGGTGAAACTACGCCTGCTGCCATCAGTGTGAATTATTCAGCAGCACACAACCCCATCCTCAAGTTTATTTAGCGTTGCAGATGGTGTCGCTCCTATTTTTTTCTAAATGGGGACACATTAATGCTCCAGCTGTAAATGTTAAAGTGTCAGGGTTACTGCTGTCAAACCCTTCACCTACAAAGTGTATGTAACATGCAAACTAGACCTGAAACACACCACTAATGTCAAATAAGGGATTAACTTCAGTGACTTTTAGACTTAAATTTGATGACATTAGACACGGTGGAGACACTAATAGCTTTTTTTATTTATTTTTTGGGGGGGGCTGAGCATCTGTGGTTATATGACCTTTTACAGAGCAAAGTTGTTCATCTTCAGGAGTTGGTAAAAGGAAATGGATGTGAGGCAGAGACATTCAGATGTGACCACATGTTACTGGAGTGGTTTGAGAAGTTTATTTAGATTTTGTGATATTTGTTTTATTTATCATTTCCCCTCACTGATTATTAAATATGTCGACATTGCAATTCATTCTAACAGAGCAGATTGATGCGTGTACAGTTGACATCCTTTTTGTTAAGATGCAAAGCCATGTAAGAAATTGGTGTCTAAACAGACTATGAGGGCAGTATCCTTTTTAGGGGCCCACTTTTAAAAGTACAGTTTGGTACCCAACCCTACTCATTATCATCTCATTATTTCATCCCCATCCCCCATAAAGGTATCCACCAACAAAAAAGCAACAGCTTGTGTGGTGTGAATTCAGACGGGCATAGGTGTATTTATTGGGAGTCTTGGACAGCTGATCAGTGCTTGCTGGTAACACGTCCCAGACAACACACTCAGGATGTGCAGAGAAAAGTGACTTCCAATCTCTTTAATCTTCTCACCTGCCAGCAGCGATGTGGCTGAGCTCTGATGGGTGCAAGCAATGTGTCGGACACTCGGATTGTACCATCTGTCCACTTGTACAAAGGAAGAGCACTCTTTATTGCTGACTGCCTCCTTGTGTGGCTGCGCAACACTGGCAGTATGCACATCGTATACATCAGGGTGGCTCGGGAAGGGTCACGTTATTATACCACCTCGAACATGAATGTGCTTATTTGAGCATTAATGTAATCAAACCTCCGCTCCAGTTCAGCTCTCACCAAAACCTGAGCAAGAGAACCCTGTCCTGCTCCTGAGGCGGTGTAACGGCCTTCATATATTTGACCATGTCTGCGTTTTTATTCTGCAGCTCGTCAGCTGACTGTTCAGATGATGCAGAACCCACAGATCCTGGCTGCACTGCAGGAGAGGCTGGACGGTCTGAACGGCTCGCCGTCAGGCTACATGGAGAGGTGAGACGGAATCTTTTTTTCGGGTGATGACGTCATCTTAGAACAAGAATTTATGTAGAATCTGCAGCATAGGTCAGTGTCTGTAAGGACACTAAAGCGTACAAACATAGTGAAATGTGAAGAATCAAGAAGACAGCGAGTGTAACCCAGAGATAGCCCATAGACTGTAGGTGTAACCACCAAAAAGCCATAAACCTCCACAATGATGAGGAGGGATTGTGATTATCTGTAATCTCATATTCATGGACTACTTTATTGCTTTTGTATAAGTCAAGTGTTACATGCATTTTAAAGAAACTAAGGTTGACTTCTTTGTATAATCGCTAGACATGTTAATAGTGCTTTTATCAGTGAACTTTTTTGTGGTGGTCACATGATCGTGCTCACCAAGTTAAAATCTTTCAGAGGTGCACAATCAAGTGCCAAGCCACTTGCTGGGCCAGCGCTCCCCACACTTATACTAAGCTCAAAGCAGAGAAGATGCTCTTTATAGCAGTAAGGAAACTGAAAACAAAGGCTGGCTTTAAAAAAAATCAATATCTGTTTAAGTGTGTGCTTGATTAAGAATATATTTGCTGGTTTACTTTGTCATGAGATAGCCGTTTCCGACGGGGAGCTGAAGTTGTTATATCCATCTGTGCTCTCTTCAAAGCCAACACGGGTTGCTGGTCTACGGCTGCAGAGATCGGTTACTTTCTTTGTTAGTATGTGACTTTACTGAGTCTGAGCTAGCCAAAGTGTTATTGTGTGACGTTTGTTAGTTCGGATTCATCAAAGTCGCACCATAGTGCAAACAAAGTAACTGATCGAGGCAACAGTAAACCAGCAACCCCCCTGCTCTGCGAGGTAAAATTACTGTTTTTTGTAATGGAGTCTTTTGGCTTTGACGAGAGCATGGACAACTGCTTCACTTGCCTGTTGGAAACGGACTGTATAGCTGTCTCACAGCAAGGTAAACGGGCGTAAATATTCTAAATATAGCGTACACTTAAACTGTTACTGATTTTTGCCTTCGTTTAAGGTGGGTAAAACATTTCTCTGGCGTCCCTGTCCACAGCAGCACACTGCTTACCTGCTAGTCACGGAGCTGGTTCAGAGGTAGAAATCTGAGACGCTCCAGTGACTGTGCGTGCGTCTCTGGCCGTGGGGCTGTGCCACCCACTGCTCCTGTTCTCAGCAAAACCATCAGCGAGCATCTCTTTGATCAACATGTCAAGTATTTGGCAGTCACTAACAAATTCACCAGTTTACAACATCCCAGCACTTGGGACTAAACGCTCATTCCCATGCCAGCATAGTGCAGGCGTTTCAAAGCCTGGTTGGTGTTGATCGATGTTCAGCGCTCCAACCAGGTCTCAGACGAATACCAAGATTGAGATTCAAATGAGACTTGAAAGGGTGCCCTGTGTAGTATTGATGATCTAGAGACATTTGCGATTTTAAGCACAGGCAACATAAGACAACATTTAAAACAGCTGAAAGAAATGATTAAAGGATGGTTATTAATAATTAAACTGTGGAACGAAATACTCAAATTTCCCCATGTACAGTAAAGATGCGTACAGGTATTATGTTTCTGAGAGCAGGCCCACCTACATTCAAATCAGAGCTGAGATATGAACCAGGGCGGACCATATTCTTTACCAGTTGTACTGATTCCGCTTGTCTATAAAGGTTCAGTTGAAGTGTTGGGCTACTATATATTTGTTTGGTGCAGTGCTTTTTTTTTTTTTTTTTTTTTACTTGATGCGGCAGCATACGCTGTGTCCCCATTGGGAACAATTGAAAAAAGAGGCTAAAAAGAGTTTTAGAAAATGCCCTGACAATATTTACAATCTGGAGGAGCTCACTTCATGATCCACACCAGGAACCTAAAGCATAAACCAATAAATCTGTATAAGAGTTAGACATCCCTCCTTCACTCTGCTGATGAATGAAGCAAATTTCAATACGACCTGTTCTCTGCATAGTTTCAGTTTGTTTACTGTGTACGTGGAAGGCCACCCTCACTTATTTGAGATGCTCTGGGGAGAGTGCTGCTCTGCTCCAAACATCTCATTAACTTCTGAGGCAGCGTCCGCTCTGCTACCATTCGCTGCACATTAACATTTTGTCCTGTGTTTATACAGTACATTTAGAAGCAAAGGGAATGCATGATCACAAAATAATATCTTCAGTTTTGTTAAGTTTGTGCAGCCCTTTCTGCAATCTGAAACCTAAACTAGTACAATTTATAGATTAGTCCCATTAGTTTGCTCTTTTTTTTCTTTCTTCAAAATTTACGAAGTGTAATAATTGCAGTTAAAGCGCAGAGTGAAATAAATAACTAACTGATCTTTGTGCCAGGATTCTTCCAGGTTTGCACTCTCATCTCTTGTACTCTCATATCTGTCTTCCCACAGCTTACCAAAGGTTGTGAAGAGACGTGTGAACGCCCTCAAGAACCTGCAGGTCAAATGTGCCCACATTGAGGCAAAGTTCTATGAAGAAGTCCATGAACTGGAGAGAAAGTACGCGGCCCTCTACCAGCCCCTCTTCGACAAAGTACGTCTTCCATACTTTGTCACCTTCAGCGTTGTATTCCTGCGGCTGTATGTATTTTGAATGGCTGATGTAATTTTCTGTTGTGCGTTTCTAGACAGTTAAACTGTTTCCTCAAAGCATAAACTAAGAGTAGCACCACAAGTCAGTTTGATGCACTCATAATCCTAAAAGGTTCATGAATCTTTTAAAAGCAGTGTTCCAAATGCATAGCAGTGTGCTACATGGTTGTGACGGTCTCCCTCAGCATCTGTTACCTTGAGCGGGCTGCCATGTTTATGCTGATCTGTACTGCTGTATATCCAGAAAAAAACACCCCCGCCCCCTTCCGACTGATCCATTTAAGAGCTCCTGATGTGAAGCGCTTTGGTCGTCACTGTAAAGCAGACTGCTATGAATGTAAACAGAAATAGTAGATATAGCATTTTATTATTGTTTACCATTGATGACTTGAATATAAGGCCAAGACTCTAAAGTGTTTCATCAGTTTGTTGCTGAACTGATTGAAGGGTTTCCTTGGCCTTTTTAAAACTTCACTTCTACATACGTGTGTCAGCCCCTCTGGTGAAATGACATGAAAACAGATGTGATGGCTTCAATGAGAGTTTATACATTGTACCAAATTGTAATAATGGCAACGGAATACTTTTTCTTGTTAACAAACCTTGTAAACTCTAAAGTGTCAACCCTGGGACAAGTTGAATGAGCGCAAAGCAATGTGACATTTTCCCAGAATGCATGGCGATAGACTTCAAATGTATAAGACCTTGTGTCTGTAGTTTTATTTGAATTAAATGAATGGAAGCTTTGAACTATTCGGTACGGCCTCGTTCTGCTTTTCAACGTATGACTCAGCAGTATTTCCTTATCAAGTGAGGTTGACCCTGCACAAGAGTGGACTTACCTGTGTGGACCATTTGTAGATGTAACCTTCATGTTTCTCATGGCTAATGCAGCGGGAAGACGTTTTGTTTTCATGTAAACAAAGCAAGGGTTAAAGCGACCTCTTTCCCAAGAATAGCCTATGTTCTCTCTGGTCACTGAAACAGCTCACACTCGGTTTCATTGTCATTTACTTGTTTTATGATTTTCTCTTTCATAAGACAAAGAGGTAGAACTTGTATAAAAATGTACATCAGTTGGGTGCAACAGGCACAAACCCCCGATTTAAATGGCTTTCTCCTCTTTGCTCTTTACAGCGAAGCGACATTGTGAAAGCAGCGTATGAGCCCACAGATGAGGAGTGTGAATGGAAGATGGATGAGGAGGAAGAGCTGACAGTAAGTAAGCAGGTACAGGTGACGTATACACCTGCATGCTCCCTGTCTGATCACTTAGGCCTTCTTTTCCTTTACTCTTTTGTTTCGTTCACGTAGCTCAAAGTCTCATCCAGAGGAGAGTACGCGTCACTTCCCAAAATGGCATGCAGCTAATGAGGAAGAACGTGGGATTCAATCTATCACTATCGCTGATTTCAGATGTCTGTATTCCAAGGCAGACGTACAGTTGATGAAATCAGTATAGTGATCTATTTTAACTGTTTTGGGGGGTGGGGGGGCTGGTTCTTTTGCCCTACATCTAATCCCAGATGCAGAGTGCTGTCTTTGTGGGTGTAGGTGGTGAAAAGCCTAGTTTCTTATTGCATGATACCTGAAAAAGAAACTGTTGAGCATGCGTCATTTTGAAAAGAAAATGTCTCCCTCAACCAGGACGAGATGAAGGAGAAGGCCAAGTTGGAGGAGGAGAAGAAGGACGAGGAGAAGGAGGACCCCAAAGGCATCCCGGAGTTTTGGTTAACGGTCTTCAAAAATGTGGACCTGCTCAGTGACATGCTGCAGGTAGGTTCATCCAGACAGCTGCTGGAGTGGCAGGGGAAATGGGTCAGAGGCTTCACTTGTGATGAAAGAAAAATCAGGGTTTGCTTCCACCTGCTGGCCAAGATGTGTAGAACAGTGTGGATCATGACACATGGTGTACACCCTTGGCCAAAAGTTTTGAGAATGACACAAATATTCATTTTCACAAAGTTTGCTGCTTCAGTTTTTATGATGGCATTTTGCATATACTCCAGAATGTTATGAAGAGTGATCTAATGAATTGCTAGTAAGATTGCACCTCAATCAACCATTTATCGGATCATCAAGAACTTCGAGGAGAGCGCTTCAATTGTTGTGAAGAAGGCTTCAGGGCGCCCAACAAGTCCAGCAAGCGCCAGGACCGTCTCCTAAAGGTGATTTCGCTGCGGGATCGGGGCACCACCAGTGCAGAGCTTGCTCAGGAATGGCAGCAGGCAGGTGTGAGTGCATCTGCACGCACAGTGAGGCGAAGACTTTTGGAGGATGGCCTGGTGTCAAGGGCAGCAAACAAGCCACTTCTCTCCAGGAGAAACATCAGGGACACACTGATATTCTGCAAAAGGTACAGGGATTGGACTGCTGAGAACTGGGGTAAAGTCATTTTCTCTGATGAATCCCTTTCCAATTGTTTGGGGCATCCAGGAAAAAAAAGTAAAACATCCTGAGACCGTTCATGTGTGGGGTTGCTTGTCAGCCAACGGAGTGGGCTCACTCACAATTTTGCCTAAGAATGCAGCCATGAATAAAGAATGGTACCAAAACATCCTCCGAGAGCAACTTCTCGTCAACACTGCAAATATTGACTCTTTGCATAAACTTAATGTAATTGTCAATAAAAGCCTTTGCCACTTATGAAATGCTTGTAATTATACTTCAGTATACCATAGTAACAGTGGAAAAAAGATCTAAAAACACTGAAGCAGCAAACTTTGTGAAAACCAATACTTGTTTGTCTCAAAACTTTTGGCCACAGGTGTATTACTAACCATAAGTCAAAACCGAAACACACTCCTCTGAATGCTGCTGTGCTTCTCTGTCCCCTCAGGAACACGATGAACCCATCCTAAAACATTTACAAGACATTAAAGTGAAGTTCTCGGATCCAGGGCAGCCCATGGTGAGTGAGCGTGACTCGTGTTGAATGTCTGGAGGCGGTCGTTTACCGCCGACTCGTCTGTAATCGCCGTCTGGTTCGGTCCTCCCCAGAGCTTCACGTTAGAGTTCCAATTCGAGGCCAACGACTTCTTCACGAACACGGTGTTGACGAAAACCTACAAGATGAGGTCGGAGCCAGATGAGAGCGACCCCTTCTCCTTCGACGGGCCAGAGATCATGTGCTGCACAGGGTGAGCAGCGCCTCATGTTCTGTTTAGTCTTTGGTTTAACTTAATCACATGAGACGTTTTTGGGGCATAACATTTTTCTATAAATTTAATGTTTATTGCATTCATTTTGGCAATGTTTTTTTTTTTTTTTTTCAAAGTTTGGAAGTTCATTCTCAGCTCCTATAAGTCTGTAAACTGTAGCCAAAACAGACACTCAAACCTTCAAAGTTTCTAATATGTAATATCCAATATAATCAAACTTTTTGATCTCACGGCAATTTAATTCTAAAAATCATATATTCTGTTATATCAGACTTTCAATCTAGAGCCCTGGCTTCAAAGTTGTGGTTTTTACTATTTTCAACCAGATTGAGTCATGTTCTCATGTTTGCCCTATGACAGGGGTCGGCGACCGTTACTATCCAAAGAGCCATTTTGCTCTATTTTCCACCAAATAAAATTCGTCTGGAGCCGCAGAAGCCATTTGATATCACAGCTTATAAAGTTTTGTATATAGTTATATTATATATACAAAAACTATAGTTTGTTGTATTTATGAAATTATAGAACAAGAATAAAGACTATTCTTGACATTTTATTGCTATTTTACCTAATAATAATAATATCAAACTCTTATGAAGAGGAGTGTTTGCTGCAGCAGTTGAGAAATCATCTCCAGCGTGATACTTTTCAGCAAATGCTGCGTTTGTGTTCTGGAAGTGACATTCAACATTACATTGTTTGCACATATCAAGCATACAGGTAAGCCAGCATCGTTGGCACATATCAAGCATACAGGTAAGCCAGCATCGTTAGCAGTGAAAGCAAATGAATATGTCCACGCAGAACTAAACTCTATTTTTCTCCGTGACTTTTCTTTTTTGGATTGATCCATTGATAGTTTAGAGGGCGGGGGGCTGAAAATCATGATTAGCCACCTGCAGGGAAAGGCGCTTGACAGGTGTAATGGGATGTGACGCACATTTTAGTTGACAAAATATTAAAACATTTTTATTTATAGTCGGGTATTACTGACTTTGTTGTTTTTACTAGCAGCTGTTGTCCAGTTAAAGTCTGCATTTTTACGGAGGAAGCAGCTGTTATTGGAGCGATTAGCGAGCAGCGTGTCCAGCAGCATTATCAGACCCACGGAGAGCGGCCGTCTGAAGTCACGTTAGCGGCTTTCAGCAACCAATCCACTTCCTGTTTACACCGGCACCCACCCGCATGCCCAGTGTACGTGAATAGTCACGTGATATTCGATTTCAGGCGTTTGAGTCTGGACGGAGATCATTTAAATATAAAATGCATAAATAAATACAACTCACAATAATGCTGAATCAGTGGGAGCCCTGAACTTGTTTCTCTGCAACGAGACTGTCCCATCTGGGGGTAATGGGAGACAATGACACCCGAAGTGTGTTCCTGATGTCCAGTCTACTCCGTAATTTAGTTTTGATTGCTGTCACTGCAGAAACTCCTGCTTCACAAAGAGGATGTTGGAAATGGAAGCAGAGTTTTCAGTGCTTTAGTGGCGATCTCGGGATATTCAGCCTTGATTTTAATCCAAAACACCAGCAGTTGTTGTTGTCTCAAACATACTTGTAAGGCCATTTACAATCTCCAGCAGCTGATCTTCCTCTGTTGCCACATATTCTGCAGAGCGGGCTTGGCGCATCAGAATTACTCCTGATATTTAATTAGACTCCTGATGTCTGTTAAATGAGGATTTCATTTTCTTGGAAGTTGTTGGCTATTTTTCTGTCCTTAGTGGGCCTTTCCCTCTTTGCAAAGAAGCTCTCCAAAAGTGTTTTAGTCATTTTCGCTAGTTTGTGGGCTTAATTTTTGAGGTAATGTATCACGTGACCGAGACACGCGTCTTGACAATTTCAAGAGAGACAAGCGGATGAAATTGCGAGAGAATGCGGTCATTTTTCAAAATAAAACTTTTTTCAGACTCTGATAATCAATAAAACGGAAATAATATAATTATTCTTTCTGTGCGGCCCGGTACCAAATGATCCGTGGCCCGGTTGGGGACCACTGATTTAGAAAACGATGCTGAAACGCCATGTGGACGGAGATCGTTTAACAAAAAACGTAATAGTGTGGATGTAGACTCAGGGAGCCGCAACAGAGCCGCAGGTTGCCGACCCCTGCCCTATGAAGTAAATGTGCTGTTTTCCTAGTTTCCACTAGGGCCACTGCTGCTGTATGACGTGTTTGATGAAATGCATCAAACTATCATTTAAACGGTTAAAAATCTGCAAATTAAATATTTGGAAGTTATCAGGACTGATATTGGTTAATATTTAATTCAGTGGAAGTGAAACATTATAATTTTAGGGCGAAGACCTCTTTCTCTAAAAACATCAAAGCAACTCTTTTAAAGGGGATGCACAATGGTTCAATTCAGTTGTACAAGTCAGAAATGAGTATTAATAGTACAGCGATATTGTATAGTCTTTTTCTGGTAGAAAATCTGACATTTTTCCTTTTGCTCAAATTGTTATTCAGTAATGAAATTTGTCTCATTTTCATACTAATTTGCTTTGGAGTGTTCTTGGTTTCGATCAAAAGACGAGGATTTTCAGGAGCATTATGATTTCATACTATCAAAGGTTTCTAGCACTGTTTATAAGGTCAGCCTCGTTATTTAATAAAACCGTCAACATGACCTGACCCGCTATAACATTTCCCTCAACAATTTCTATCTACAAGCTCACCAGCTAGATAAAACCCCAGATATCATATATGGTTTGACATTTATAAATCTGACACTGCCCTTGCGTTCTCCTGCTGCCTCCTCCTCGTGTTTTACTACAGTTGCACGATCGAGTGGACGAAGGGCAAGAACGTCACGTTGAAAACAATCAAGAAGAAACAGAAGCACAAGGGCCGCGGCACAGTGAGGACAGTCACCAAGACAGTCCCCAACGACTCCTTCTTCAACTTCTTCACCCCGCCAGAGGGTAAGCACGATGGGGCATAAATATTCACTTACACATGGCCAGTTGATTCAACATTATTAAAACCATCAGTTGGGTATCGGCATAACTATCTGCTTTTGTTTTCAGTTCCAGAAAACGCAGAGTTGGTAAGTTGTACTTCTTCTACGCTTTGAAATTCCTGATTGAATCTATTTGTTTAGCATTCAACAGCTTAAAGCAACAAATTACTTATTTATTAGAAGCTAAATCTAATATGCAAAGAACTTTCATTCTAATAATCTAGTTTTCTCAGGTATTTTAAATATTTACGGATTATCTTATTAACCTTGTGTTTTTGCCTTTACAAAAAGAGGCTAACCGGTCCAACCCTGAATGCGTCGTATAGAAACCTCGACTATTACTGTTGTAAACATGAATGAACTGTGCCGTCTGTCTTCAGGACGAAGACTCGGAGGCGGTCCTGGCTGCAGACTTTGAAATCGGCCACTTCATCCGTGAGCGTATCGTACCTCGGGCCGTGCTCTACTTCACAGGAGAGGCCATCGAGGATGACGACGACGACGTGAGTCTTCTTCGGCCTTAGGGCACATTGGAATGGACACATGTCGCCATTATAGGCGTTTCATTATGCTCTGCTTGACTACATTATGGCTTTGTCAGAGGAACGAGCTCTGATCTCGTTGCTGCTGGCACAAGTTGTAAGGAATGTTCCGGTAATGGTTGGGATGTGTTTCCATTCATAACGGTGGAGCAGTACTGACACATCTTCCTCATCTTATACTTGACTCCGTCGCTGTTGGAGCCGACTGTTGAACCGGCTGCCGGTCTTCTGGCTCCAGCGGTTCATTTGTACTCGCCGCAGTTGCGCCGACTCGCACGCCAATCGGCTTGTTGCGCTAACCTCAGCACATGTTGCTAACGGCGCACAGCTAAAAGATCATGGACAGACTGGGCTTGTTTCAAATTTATTCCACAATCTGTGCATCAATCTACATGCGCTGTATTGTGCGCACACCAGTCTGAGACCGCCATACCATAATGGTTTAGCTCGAACACATCAACTGTTGAAGCCTTATTTATTTATTATCAATAGTAAACGGGATTTATTGGCAGGTGAGTATTCTTTACTTGAAATATGTCTGTTCCAATTGGATTTTCAAGGAAAAACATGGAGCTAGCTTGTTTCTTCGTCAACTTCTTCGTGTTTCTTTTTTTAGCTAATCCTCACATTTGTGTCTTACAGTACGATGAAGAGGGAGAGGAGGCGGACGATGAGGTAAGACCATTTGGGGCCACACTTCTCGTATGAAAATGCTTGGACATGGATGAGTGTTAATTATGGTCGCCTTGAGGAACTGCAGCAGCCTAACGTCTCTCTGTGCTGTGTGTTAAGGAGGGAGAGGAGGAGGCTGATGAAGAGAACGACCCCGACTACGATCCCAAGGTGAGATCAGACTTCCCCTCCCACTCTAAAGATCTCTGGTGTCCTGACAAAGACCTTACTCAGCTGTTCTCAACTTTGTTGGCTCAGGATGCTCTTTTCAAAAAAGTGAAGCAGCTCTTACTGTAGGCCATTGACTGCTGCAGTGATCTCTCAGAACCTTTTTAAATGTCCCAGTGAGACACATTTAGCATTACCACCATCCAGTGTCCTACGGGTGTCACTGAGCTGCAGGTAGAGAACGGCTGTCCTAAATTGCCTTGTCAGATTTCAACATTCAGAATACATACTGCCAAATGCATCTCATTTTACACCAGCTTTTGGTTTTGCTTCAGCTTTTATTTTGTAGTCGTGATCATGATTTGGCTTCTGGACGCACAAAAGAAACACTCCCATTATGTATTTTTTCCTCTTAACCAGATCCTGTATCTCGGAATGACTTCTCACCGGTCGGTTAAAGGGCCAGTTCACCCCAAAATCAACAATACCGATTTTTCCTCTCACCTGTAGCGCTATTTAGCAAACAAGATAGTTTGTGTTGGTCTTCTCTCAAATATGATGGAACTATAGGACACTCAGCTTCTGGTGCTCAAAGTGCCAAAAAAGCATTTGAAAAACTCAACAGCAATGTATTTTTCCATAAATCATGACCTGATTACTCAACATAATCCAGGGACTTTGTTGTGAGCAGTTTCATGTAGGAACTATTTTCTTTCCTCCTAACTACACCCACCAACCGTATCACCACGCAGAAGGAAGTACACGTCTACTGATGGACGAGAGGCTCGTGACAGCGTGAGATGTAGACATTAACGCCATCCTCCTCGGCTCAGCTGTAACGTTAGCTCAGTGATGCTATGTGAGCTAGCATATAGATGCATGCCTCCTTCTGCGCGGGGATACGGTTGGCTGTTGTAGTTGTGGAGAAAGAAAAAAGTCCCTACATGAAACTACCCACAACGAATTGTTTCCAAATGCATTTGTTTGACGCTTTGAGCACCACAAACCCTCCCAAACTTAGCCACTCATACCAAAACTATCGAGAGTGATGAATGGCACTACAAGTAAGAGGACAAATGTGTATTTTTGAGTTGGAGGGTGGACTGTCCCTTTTTAAAGTCTGACTAAGTACAGACCTGCAGAGGTTTACTGTAATTTGACTGGGACCGCTAAATAACGGGCTCTCTCCTGAAGACTGTTTACTCACTGATATTTTCTGCTTCACTGCCTTCCTGAAGGAGGTAATGTAGCCGAAAACTGAAGCTGTGCAAGCTCAAAAGTATTTCAGGAAGACAAATGATACTCTCTCGATACATAATATATTAAGAGTTTAGTTCTAGTACACCATGAGATGTGCACATACTTGCTTAGGACTTTTGTTACTTTATTGGTTTGAGTTCAGGATCTTTTAAAAATTAATATTAACCAGACTAAAGCAGCTCGTACGTTTGACACGGTGTAAACAAGCATGACCTCTGCTTCTTTGCCAAACAAACACGTCTGACATTCTGCTAGTTCGGCTTTGTTTTTTTTAAATTATTTTTTCCTATTCATTAATGTTGCTTCATCTCCAGTCACTTTGGCATCTTTTGTCAGCTACTCTTTAAATTTTTCCTCACTAGGTTTAAGTGGTGACAGTAGAAAAATAACCCTATCCTGGTAGGTACAGCTTGTGAATTGTCAGCTTACTACCATCACACCCCCCCACCACTCTGTTTTGGCTTTTTGCTCTCCTTCTGTTCTTCCATCCTCCATCCATCTCTCTGCACCCCTCCACCCCACACATGAGCCCCCCCCCTCTTCCTGCCGCCGTGCTGCACTAACCCACCGGTGTGTCGTTGTTTTTTTTGCAGTTTAACCCATAGTGAGTTCTGCATTTGCGCCTGTATTTCTGTATGTTGAAGCTAGTCCAGCCTCTCTCCCCCCCCCCCCACCTTTTCTTTTCTTTTTTCACCTTGTTGAACTCCATCCATCCACAAACGCAGGCTAGTTTTGAGTTTTTGTAAGGATGAGGATTTATTTTTTTTTTTTTTCTGCCTTAAATTCTGTGCTTTGTTTTATGGATGTCTGTTTTTAATACTCATTGGTCCATGGTTTTTATCCTCCCTGTTCACATTAGATCTGTTTAGCCGTCTATTTTTCTCTATAGATCTGCTTTTTAATGATGGGATAAAGGCCACGGAGGGCCATGTTTTATCTCTCTGAAGGTGACTTCACTGTCAGCCTTTTTAACAAAAAACAAAGATACTTGATTGCTTGATACTAGGGATGTGTGCGATTAGTCGATTTAGCGTTGCTGCCCTCGCTAATCTGATCCAGATATGCTAGCCGGTTAACACGTTTTTCCAACTCCTCTTTCTGAAACGGCGATTGCCCACTAAGATACCAACGGTGTAAGCGATGCCAAACCAGGACTCTTAGACCTCAGTCCCCGCTGGTGTTTCATCAAACATTACGTCATGAGGCGCATTCCTGACTGGAGCAGACACAGATTTGATTTCGGCGGCAACTAGAGTACAACTTGTTTATTGAAAAATGTGAAAAATGTGAATATAATTTCCAATTGCTCTTATAATATATTCAAATTTTACAGACAATGTTTAGCCTAACGGATACAATTGTGTTTTCGCAGTAATTTACTTTGAGCTGGTCGTTAGGAACCACTTGCAGCTGATTTAAACGAGACACAAACTCAAAGACGAGAAGTCTTTGAGTTTGAATCATCATTGTCTGCGATAGGAGCCAGACCAAGATTTTACACCAACATTCCCTCAGCACAATGTTTTGGCTAAATGTATTGCACTAAATAGCTGAAGTGACCTTCCACCGTTTAGCCAGCGTGGCATCAGGCTATGGAGAGCAAATGCAGTGTGCCTGGCCATCACCTTCAGAAGGATCTGTCTTCTGTAAGGACGGCCTGCTCCTAGTATTAAATATCTCTCTTCATCATCTCAAGTGTTCCCTTTTTGGTTTTGGCTGCTAATTGATTTGAGCCCAAGGTGCTCTTGAGGTGTTTACATGTAAACTCCTGTAGCAGCAACACCTAAAGAAGCTTTTAAAGCTCTTCCTCAAATGTAAAAGTATCTCCTTCCCAAACAAAGGGCTTATTTACAAACTTAAAGAAATGCCAAAACAGTTTAATCATTAACCAGTGGAGATTATGAATCTTGGTATAGTCTAAGGCTCACATTTGAAAACTGTATTTGAGACTTTCCCTCCAGTGTGTTAAGATGAATATGATGGACTTTGTCATGTGCCCCCCCCCCCCCCGAGGTATTCGCTCTGCAGTCGGGAGATGAGGAACTTTTCAGATGTTTCCAGATGCTTGACTGTTTTAGGTCTTGAAATGGCTTTGCTGTGTTTTTTTTTTTTTTTTTTTTTTTTTTTTTTTTTTTTTT